AAAAAAAACTAAAATGTGGCACATTATTATTGTTTTGGAACAGTGATGATGAGCGTGTATGATCGATTGTAAGACTGCGGCAGCATAGATACACAACCACACAAAAAAAGAATCATTCAATTTGGACGAGGGATCATTGGTCTTGTTAGAACTGCCGCTAGCACTAGTTTCGCTCTCTGGCGCGTGTGAGCTGACCCCCGGGGACCGACTAGGATCTTGTTGGCTCGCCGTTGGCTCGTGCGAAACCAATCGATCAACCGATACCTTGTCCACTAATTGGAAATGCAAGATACTACCTCCCTTTCTCTCTCGCACCCCCCCCCCTCCCCCTGTCTAGCCCTTGTCGCGCGACACGCTCACTGCACCACGGGGCAGGGCAGCGCAAACAAAACATACTGTGCCGCGAATTGTTAATGGATACTTGCATCTTGAAACAAAACGTTGCACGGGGCGCGTCAGAATATAGCGCGGTACGCGTCAGTAGGCAGCCAGCCAAGATACCAGAGACGCACTGAAATGTATTATCTCTTACATTAGCTGGGTGCATGGTCCTGAAAGTCACTTTTCAACTATCTTTCGAACACTAGAGTCTCCAACACAAGGCACAGGCAGTGGTATCATCATTTTGTACGAAAGGAATTTCCATACACAATTTATATAACTGAAGGCGAGTTTGTCTTCCAAATAAACATATATCTTATTGCACGTTTTCTTCACATTACGGAGGAATTTCACGATATCTTGTTCGAGTGCGTAGTTGTAAGATGCTATGAACCAAACAATACATGTGGAAATCACCTGTGAATTTTTTCCTACGTCATGGCCGATCAGCAATAAAAAGGCGACGAAACCACCCAAATTATCCCCGGCGCGCTGCCGTTTGAACCCCAGGCGCGGGTAATCGGGGCCGCGTCCTACACGTCGCCTGTCAATAATAAATAAGAAGAACAAGTCGGGCGGGAAATTCAGATCCGGGGTCTATGATGGTGGGGGGGCCTCGTTTCATCTAAAAAAAATTCATCTAAAACGCTTTTTTAGTTTTGGGAAGCAGCGGCCCACAAATTTCCCACGGTTTCCCTACTTGACTGATCCAATTGTGTTACTAATGTTTGCTAACAATTGTTAATAGAGTGAAGTGGCTGTTTTACAATTTCTGCATTGTGTATAAACAACCATTTTCTTTGCGTAGTTAACAAATGAGGTCAGGTCTCGCTGTAGTTGAACAACATACTTTAGAAAAATGTAGTCTATACGCGGGCGCAGAGATTTGACGGAGTACTACCTGTCCGCAGAGGCACGCGCCTCCGCCTGCGCTGCTGCTCGCCCCCAGCCCACTGCAGTGCCCCTTCTCGGACAAATCAGACGGCCATTCAAAAGCCTTCTCCTCGCATCGCTCGCTTCTCTTCTTCTCGCTCTTCCTTCTCACACCTCTCGCGCCACTCTATGAGAGAAAAACGCGGCGACGCGACGGCGGCAGCAGCGCCCATATAGTCGTTGGCAATTATTATCATTTCTCCGCCGAGACCCTCCCTATCAATCACGGCGCGGCCGCAGCGCAGCAGCACTGCAGACGCGATTACGGTATACGACGACACGATGCGCCACGGTGGGGCGGGGCGGGAGCAGTGTACGTGCGCGCGGGGCGTGGCGGCGCTGATGCATCGCGACGGGTACCTGTACCAAGCCGATCACGCTGAGCTCGCGCTCACACACACACACGCACGCATGCGGCCGCATACGCCATGGGTGGTACTCGTTCAAGCGCGATATAGGCACAGGGCAGCACACACAGGCGAGTTCCAGGAGCACCCGAGGTTACATCAAAAATCCTCTCGCTACGCTGTTGCCCCCCCCC